AAACATGGACCATAACTCGAGAAGAAATTAATGGAAATTATTGAAATTAAATAAGCTTCTTCATCGCACTAATATAAACAACATATATCAACATATATCAATTTCAAAACAATCAGATGATAAATGTAGTCTGTAGAGTGTTCACAAGAAATTGTGGGCGACGGATCGACAGACGGACGGACGAACAGACAGGGCGACGCCAATGTATGATCACTTTTCCATGTGGGCGTATAAAAAACGAAACGAAATATAGATCTGTATTTTAATCAGATTGTGTTTAACCAGTTCTATCACATATGAAGAGCCCCGGGGAAGAACGATCTAAGTCACTTTTCAACGAATCCCAGTTAATGGCGCCATCTGGTAGCAAATTGTATAAGCTGAAAAGTGGAAGACAGTTGTTGTATTGGTAATTATGATTCGTATTAAACATCATTTTGAAGTTGTAATTAAACCCACTCGTTGTTCTGTTCGTATCAAGCATTCTCGTCCAAAAGTCTGTTTTGCCTTTTAGGTGTAACAGGACGGGGCACTTGAGCGTCAGGGGGGGGGGGGCTCTTATGCAAACCAGAAGTCCAGGTTCGTACACAGGATGTCAGGTTTCCCACGTGAACTGAAGTAAAAGAGAACACATTTATAGAGTTTCAAATTCTTTATTTCGTAAGATACAAAAATTAAGTGCCTGCAACGCGTATTCGAATGCGTTCGTCTTCTTCTCACCAATGGTAAACCAGCTGAAATAAAGAACTTGTGCCAAGTTCATCAACTATCCTTATGTCAGCTATGCCCCTTTATCGAACCAAGAAACAGAGCATCTGCTTGCACCAAATCCTCTATCTTCCGAATGAAACCTCAGAATCAATTAAAACTCAGGAAAGATATCAACGTTAATTGGCGCCTGCCTCAGTCCGAACTATCAATATTCGTACAAAGGGAGGCAACAAATCTTACATCACCTAAACGGAACCCGTAAAATAACTAGAAACTCATCACTCTACAAATATACTGAGCACCATGGAAAACGCATCACTTAGTTTTTCGTATAACAAAATGATCCTGTAAACATATCTTATTTATTTTGCTTCTTATTGTGAACAATATTCAAATGGGAACACATCAATAATAACACATTTGTACACTTATGGATGTTTAATCTGTAATCAAGGGTACAAAGTCAGACTGGTCAAAACTAAAAGTATGGCACAGATTTCAGTAGCGCGTGTGTTCTCCTCGGGCTCTTACGCACGCTGTGCAGCGACGTCGCATGGAATTAACCAATGTTTGAAAGAAGGCCTGGGGCAAATTGTTCCATTCTTGGACAAGAGCAGCTTCTAAAGCAGCAATGGTGTGCATCTGTGGTCTCCGATACAGACGGCGTCCAATCTCATCCCAGACATGTTCTATCGGTGCCATGTCCGGAGACATGGCTGGCCAGTCCAAGACATTGATGTTGTTAGCAGCCAGGTAGTCCATACTAAAACGGGCGATATGCGGACATGCATTATCCTGTTGGAAGTGCTGAAGTTGTGGGTGCGCTCGAAACATCGGAACAACAATTTGTTGCAAGACATCATCACGGTAGGCTTGAGCATTAACGCGACCCCTACAAATGTGTAGGGCGGTCCGGTGATGAAACGTAAACGTGAACTGAAGTAAAAGAGAACACATTTATAGAGTTTCAAATTCTTTATTTCGTAAGATACAAAAATTAAGTGCCTGCAACGCGTATTCGAATGCGTTCGTCTTCTTCTCACCAATGGTAAACCAGCTGAAATAAAGAACTTGTGCCAAGTTCATCAACTATCCTTATGTCAGCTATGCCCCTTTATCGAACCAAGAAACAGAGCATCTGCTTGCACCAAATCCTCTATCTTCCGAATGAAACCTCAGAATCAATTAAAACTCAGGAAAGATATCAACGTTAATTGGCGCCTGCCTCAGTCCGAACTATCAATATTCGTACAAAGGGAGGCAACAAATCTTACATCACCTAAACGGAACCCGTAAAATAACTAGAAACTCATCACTCTACAAATATACTGAGCACCATGGAAAACGCATCACTTAGTTTTTCGTATAACAAAATGATCCTGTAAACATATCTTATTTATTTTGCTTCTTATTGTGAACAATATTCAAATGGGAACACATCAATGATAACACATTTGTACACTTATGGATGTTTAATCTGTAATCAAGGGTACAAAGTCAGACTGGTCAAAACTAAAAGTATGGCACAGATTTCAGTAGCGCGTGTGTTCTCCTCGGGCTCTTACGCACGCTGTGCAGCGACGTCGCATGGAATTAACCAATGTTTGAAAGAAGGCCTGGGGCAAATTGTTCCATTCTTGGACAAGAGCAGCTTCTAAAGCAGCAATGGTGTGCATCTGTGGTCTCCGATACAGACGGCGTCCAATCTCATCCCAGACATGTTCTATCGGTGCCATGTCCGGAGACATGGCTGGCCAGTCCAAGACATTGATGTTGTTAGCAGCCAGGTAGTCCATACTAAAACGGGCGATATGCGGACATGCATTATCCTGTTGGAAGTGCTGAAGTTGTGGGTGCGCTCGAAACATCGGAACAACAATTTGTTGCAAGACATCATCACGGTAGGCTTGAGCATTAACGCGACCCCTACAAATGTGTAGGGCGGTCCGGTGATGAAACGTAAAGCCTCCCCACACCATTACACTTCCCCCACCCCATCGATTCGTTTCGAAGACGCAGCAGTCTGCAAGACGTTCCCCAAGACGTCTCCACACACGTTGACGGCCATCAGCGTGATAAAGATGAAAGCGACTCTCATCACTGAAGAGCACACTTTGCCAGTCTACTCTTCTCCACGTCTGGTGTCCTTGAGCCCATATCAAACGCCGCTGACGGTGATGATCCCTGAGGATAGCTCCAACATAAGGTCATCGTGCACGGAGTCCTACTTCTTTTAGACAACGTCTTACGGTGTTGGCACTTCCCCCACCCCATCGATTCGTTTCGAAGACGCAGCAGTCTGCAAGACGTTCCCCAAGACGTCTCCACACACGTTGACGGTCATCAGCTTGATAAAGATGAAAGCGACTCTCATCACTGAAGAGCACACTTTGCCAGTCTTCTCTTCTCCATGTCTGGTGTCCTTGAGCCCATATCAAACGCCGCTGACGGTGATGATCCCTGAGGATAGTTCCACTGATTGATTCCAAGCTGAGAGATTATCTAGAGTTGGTAGAGTCCTACTTCTATTAGATGACGTCTTACGGTGTTGGCACTTACTGGTCGCTGTCTTCCGACGACTGCTGCACCTGTTCGAGTCGCTGGGCGGAATCTGTCACGCAGATGAGTGACCCGGATGTAGTGGTCTTGAGCCTGGGTTGTAACGCGTTGTGGACCAGGACGTTGACGGTCACGTGTTGATCCAGTAACTCGAACATGTTCCACCAACCTTACAATAGTGGACTGATGACAATTGAAGTGTCTGGCAATAGCACGTGTAGACATGCCAGCCCTGGACATTCCCATGGCTTCATTCCGTTGATTTTCAGTAAGTCTCGGCATCTCTAGTTCGATTCCTTTACACGTCCAGCAACAAATTACGACAGATTGATGTTTCACATTTAGTTGAAAACATGCTTTTAAAGGGCTCACACACAATGCTGCACGTAAATATTGTGTTTTTCATGTGCACCTCGTGCAATTTTTCTTTGTGCACACGGGCCGATATTTTTTGCGTTTGGGAGCATTGTGTGAAACAATAGTTCATAGTATTGCATATTATACATACAAAACCACCTAGTAATAAAATATTTGGGAAAAAAAGTGATGCGTTTTCCATGGCGCTCAGTATACATATAAACATCACAGCTTTATGCCTGCCTCAGCCCAAACTTACAATATGCGTACAAAGGGAAGCAAACAAATCTTACATCACCCAAACGGAAGCCTTAAACAAACTAGAAACTCATAACTTAATTCAAACAAACAATTCCCCTATAGTTTGAAACATCCGTCTTAGCCCGTGCTCGTCCTAATTAGTTACTCCTGTAGGACTTGCACGTTACCAAAAACACAAAAGCCCGCTCCGGAAATCTTAGTTGCCCCGAGCGGAATAATTGATTACTCTTGCCGGACTTGCAGGCTACCAGAGACAAAGTCTCACCTTGGAATGCTTACCTCGAGCGGAATCAGTAATTACTCCTGCGAGGTTCGCACCCCCCGACCGTTCGACTAAGACTGACTTTAACTGGCCTTATATACCCTATCTATACGCTCTGCACTGTAGGATGCACATGCATGAACCTTGACCCGGATTTATCACATATTGACCAATAGAAAGTTCCAAACCACAAGTCGACGGCATATTCACAAAATGGCAGCTATTTACGCAATTTCCGCATGTAAACAAACCCCATTACGAGTTCTACGTAATATGAAGCAATATTGATATTTTCATTGTGAATAAAATTTGGTAGACTGGCCATCAATGGTTTCAATATATATCTTCTATGTAATTGCCTTTAGTTAAAAATTTTCGTCGCTCAGACTCAAACGATGGAAACGATCGCGGTTTGTTTTCATAGCAACACGTGGTTGTCAAACTCGCTGTCAAAACTAAACACCCCCACAACAATTTTAATTGTTTTGTCCAACACGTGACGAAAGCCATGTTGTCTCCCACTTAGTAGAAAACACGTCAAATTTTTCAAGAGAGAACTTTTTTATTCGTTGGGATATTTAATTGTGCAATGGATTTTATTTAACCTGAGTTGATTTCAAACAAACAGGTAAGTTTATAATAACCAAAGTTAAATAGTTTGTTCATAATCGAAGAAATCCGTTTATAAAATAGCAAGGTTCACACAGTAGTTCGTTATTCCCCTGGACTCTTCATATGTGATAATGACTGACACCAATATTGTTCTTTAAAATCTCATTACAACATATCCATAAAGTCCAACCTGGGTTAAGTTACGTTTAAGCATAATATTGTTAAATTTTTGTTTAAGGTAACTGTCCTGAACGAACATAAACCATTTCACCAAACTGGCTATGATGTTAGCATTATCTACAACTATGAATTAATCTAATGGTAAGTCATATATTATACGTTGATATTTACTAATCCTTGATTAAGCTGACTAATATAAATTGATTGATATCATAACTATATATTTGTACTACATGTATATGTTGATATTGACAGGTGTATTGTTTAATGATCTCACCATATTAACTATGTATTGTATGTAGAAAATCTTATGAACATTGATTATGGTCTAGATCTGGGATTCAGTCCAAAACCCATCTCATCAGGTGTGTTTTACCCCAACGATACACTCGTAAAGAAATTTATCATCAGATTTTTACACCATGAGTCAAATTAAACTAGATCATCGCTAACACTGTAATATACGTCAAGATTTCTGCTTTCATTGATATGGTGCTTTTTAAAATGAAGAGAATGAAATATACATAGCTGCAATGACTGTAATATGACAAGAGGCAAAGAAGGCTAGACGTAGGGTTTGTTTTGCCAAATTTAGAGAATAAATATTAACAAAAAGGGGTGGGTGACACCGCCCCAGGGGGTTGGGGCATGCACCAAAATAAATAGTTGCTGTCTTTACGGTATAAGGAATAAATATGCAAAGTTCCAAGATGACCCATTCAGAATTGCAGCCTGTATATGATGAATACACCCTGAGTACCACCCTGTTATTGAAATGATTGATATGCTGAATTTGAACAAAATCTGTCAGTTATAGCAACCTGTAAAGTGTTTACAGACAAAGGGGTGGGTGACACCGCCCCAGGGGGTCGGGGCATGCACCAAAATAAATAGTTGCTGTCTTTACGGTATAAGGAATAAATATGCAAAGTTCCAAGATGACCCATTCAGAATTGCAGCCTGTATATGATGAATACACCCTGAGTACCACCCTGTTATTGAAATGATTGATATGCTAAATTTGAACAAAATCTGTCAGTTATAGCAACCTGTAAAGTGTTTACAGACAAAATAGTGGGTGTGGTACCACACCCTTGGGGGCAGGACATGTACCAAATAAATAGTTGCTATCCTTACAGGAATAAATATGCCAAGTTCCAAGATGATTCATTCTGAATTCCAGCCGGTTGACAAAAAAACATAAAAATTGGGTGTGGCTCTGCCCCTAGGGGTGTTGGGCATGGGCCAATATAAATAGGTACAACCCTACTATGGATCATTCCGAATTGGATCCAAATCAGTTAATGATTGCAGCATATATCATTTACAGACAAAACAAAAACAAAAATTGGTGTGGCACTGCCTAAACGTTGGGGGGGGGAGGGGGAGGATCATGCACCAAAATCAATAATTGCCGTCCTTAGGGTATAAGGAATAAGTATACCAAGTTCCAAAATAATCCATTGAGAATTGTGGCCTTCGGACGCTCAACACATACATTGGGCGTGGCTCTACCCCTGGGGGTCGGGACATGCACCAATATCATAGTTGCCACCCTTAGGGTATAAGGAATACATATGCCAAGTTCCAAGTTGATCCATTTAGAATTGCGGCATGTATGCGATAAACACAAATATTGGGCGTGGCTCTGCCCCTGGGGGTTGGGACATGCACCAAAAAACAATAGGGATCATCCTTGGGTATAAGGAGTAGGTATGCAAAGTTTCAGAAGGATCTGTTAAGAATTGCGGCCTGTAGGCGAAAACACAGACGCACACAAAAATTGTGCGTGGCTCTGTTCAAGGTGGTCGGGCATGCACCAAAATTAATAGAGGTCATCCTTAGGGCATAAGGAATAAGTATGAAAGTTTTCAAGACAATCAATTAAGAATTGCTGACTGTAGACGACACACAGACACACAAAATGAAAATGGGCGTGGCTCTGCCCAGTGTCCCTGGGGATTGGGCATGCACCAAAAACTATAGGGGTGTTCCTTAGGGCATAACGAATAAGTATGCAAGGTTTCAAGATGATATGTTAAGAAATGCAGCCTGTAGACAACAAACAAACAAATACAAGAAATGGTCGTGGTTCTGCCCCTGGGGGTTGGGCATGCACCAAAAACAATAGGGATCATCCTTAGGGTTTAAGGAATAAGTATGTAAAGTTTCAAGATGATCAGTTAAGAATTGTGGACGTATAAAAATTATTTACAAAATGATATTATTTCTGTAACAAAAGCATAAAAATATTTGAAAGATAGGTTGACAGGTAACGAAACATACGCCCACAGCACCTAAATCGTCCGGGCAGTCAACAAGTGTTGTCGCATATTTTTACTTTTTTCGGTAATGAAACATTTATAATACACTAAAATCTGATTAAGAGTAACAACTCATGAAGTAATTATCAGAAAACCATTAGAATTTGTTTGGCTTTTATAAAGTTCTGCTCCATGCTAATGTATACGAAACTTTAATATCATGGATTTAGATGTTCAAGTCATAAAAAGTCATTGAAAATCAATATACTTGTTCATCTCAAGATCTTAAACTCTGTGTATCAATCTGAAGTCAATCGGATGATAACTTTAGCCTCTAGAGCGTCACAAGATTTTTCAAAGTTATCAAGGACCATAACCTTGGCAGTAATTATCGGAAATCGTTGAAAATCAATACGATTCTTCGCCTCATGACCTCAAACACTGTGTATAAATTTAAAGTCAATCAGATATTAAACATGCATTATGCAAGTGCTAAATCTGCCTATTGCAGGTCTTTCTTTAGGCCTAAAATGTTACTAAATTATTAATTAGACATTAATTAACCTATCCAGACCATAATCAACTCTAGATGGCATCGCTAGCCTGCGATCTTTAGTGGATTATGAGCCGATTTACTGCATAACTTTTATTCACGATTTAACAATTAAATGGATAATCGAGACTATGCTGTTTATCGTACTGACTTTAGTAATGATGTTCAAGGCTAGCCGGAAATTTCAAGCGCTTAGTTCTCGGTTCATAGTGGATCAATTTGAATGAAATTTTCAGCAAATTGCCTTTACATTATCTAGTTATTAACTATTATAGTGAGAACTGCCAACTCGTTATCGAATCTCCCATAATGTATCTTTAACTTTAGCCTCTAGAGCATCCACAAGATTTTTTGAAGTGATGAAAGGGCCATAACTCTGGCAGTAATTATCGAAAATCGCTGAAAATGAATAGACTTCTTCATCTCATGACCTTAAACACTGTGTATAAATTTAAAGTCAATCGGATATTAACTTTAGCCTCTACAGCATCCACACACAATTGTGGATGCCGGAACGCTGGCCGGCCGGACGGGGGCGACGACAATATACAACCACATTTCAATGTGGGTGTATAAAAAATATGGCCATATAAAATTGATGTTTTGGGAACTTTTCTTAATTTTATAAACAAGATTTGTCCCTTTCACTTTATGTAGTGTAGAAAATCAGAACCATAAAGGCAAAAAAAAAAATATAGGTTGCCAGGCAACAAAACATACGCCCACAGCAGCTAAATCGTCAGGGCAGTCAACAAGAGTTGTCACAAATTTTTACTTTTGTCAGTAATGAAACATTTATAATACACTAAAATCTGATTAAGAGTAACAACTCATTAAGTAATTATCAGAAATCATTAGAATTTGTTTGGCCCATGCTAATGTTTAGTATACAAAACACTTAATATCATGGATTTAGCTGTTCTAGTTATCAAAAATCATTGAAAATCAATATAATTGTTCGTCTCAAGACCTTAAATTCTGTATCAATCTAAAGTCAATCGAAACGATTATATATAGGTGTAAACACGGTGTATAAATATAAAATCAATCAGATGATAACTATGGTCTCTAAAGCATCCACAAGATTTTTCAAAGTGATCAAGGGCCATAACTCTGGAAGTAATTATTAGAAATCGTTCATGACCTTAAACACTGTGTATAAATTTAAAGTCAATCGGATCTTCGTCTAATGACCTTAAACACTGTATAAATTTAAGTCGAACGGATATTAACTTAACCTCTAGAGCGTCCACAAGATTTTTCAAAGTGATTAAGGGCCATAACTCTGGCAGTAATTATATAAAATTTCTTCGCCTGATGACCTGAAACTGTGTATAAATTTAAAGTCAATCGGATATAAACTGAAGTCTCTAGAGCATCCACAAGATTTTTCAAAGTGATAAAGGGCCATAACTCTCTCAGTAATTATCAGATATTGCTGAAAATCAACAGGATTCTTCATCTCATGACGTTAAAGTCAATCGGATATTAACTTGGACGGACGGACGGACGGACGGACGGGGGCCCATCACAATATACGATCACATTTCAATGTAGCCGTATAAAAACGAAATGAAGATATAATTTTAACAAGATTGCCTTGACAGTGCTGTTGAATGACCAGGATGATTTACCCAATTCTACCCAATACCACCCAATACTAATTAAATACTAATTAAATATTGTGAAAAAATAACATAATACTTCAATCATGAAAAAAATTGAGTTAATTTGTGGAAAACATGAAAAAAAAAAAATGTTCGACAAATGTGATTGTCAATGTATCTCTATTTCAATTATCTACAAATACTATCAAAGATAGGTTGTCAGGCAACAAAACATACGCCCACAGCAGCTAAATCATCCAGGCAGTCGACAAGGGTTGTCTCATATTTATTCTTTTGTAGGTAATTAGGGGAATTTAATAGAAAATTTCATACAGATGACATTATAACTTTCTTCGTTTGAGGATTCACAAGGTTCTAAAAACTAAAACAAGGGCCATAACTCTAGAAGTAATCTACTGAAATTGTTGAAATTGAACAGGCTTTTTCGTTTTACTAATTCAAATAATGCATATAAATTTCATACAGATCGGATGATAACTTTTGTCGTTCGAAGGTAATTAGGGGCATTTAATAGACAATTTCATATAGGTGACATTATAATTTTCGTTGTTTGAGGGCACACAAGGTTCAACAAAGTAAAACAAGAGCCACAACTCTAGAAGTAATTAACGGAAATTGCTGACATTCAATAGGCTTCTTCATTTCACTAATTTAAATGATGCATATGAATTTCATACAGATTAGGTGATAACTTTTGTCGTTCAAGTGTTCACAAGATTCAACAAAGTTAAACAAGGGCCATAACTCTAGCTGAATTAATGGAAATTTGCTGAAACTCAATAGGCTTGTTTGTTTTACTAATTCAAATGATACATATTAATTTCATACGAGTCGGATGATAACTTTTGTCGTTCGAAGGTTCACAAGGTTCAACAAAGTAAAACAAGAGCCACAACTCTAGAAGTAATTAACGGAAATTGCTGACATTCAATAGGCTTCTTCATTTCACTAATTTAAATGATGCATATGAATTTCATACAGATTAGGTGATAACTTTTGTCATTCAAGCATTCACATGATTCAACAGAGTTAAACAAGGGCCATAACTCTAGCTGAATTAATGGAAATTTGCCGAAACTCAATAGGCTTGTTTGTTTTACTAATTCAAATGATACATATTAATTTCATACGAGTCGGATGATAACTTTTGTCATTAGAGCATTCACTAGGTACAACAAAGTAAAACAAGAGCCACAACTCAGAGTGTAATTAATGGAAATTGCTGAAATTCAATAGGCTTCTTCGTTTCACTAATTTAAATGATGCATATCAATTTCAAACAGTTCGGATCAAAGTAAACTCCAAGATTTTTAACTGATTGGGAGGATGTTATTGTTGAATCACCGATTTTAACGGATTGAGAAAGAGATTTTCTGCTGATTAAGATGACCTCTGTCTTATCATCATTTAATTTTAGGAAATTAAGATTCATCCAATTTTTTATGTCATCTATACAAGCCTCAAGTTTACAGATTTCGGTGGAGTCACTCGGTGGTTTCAAAGCAAGATACAGTTGTGTGTCGTCAGCATAAAGATGAAAGTTAATTCCATGTTTTCGGATGATATCGCCAATTGGTGTTGTGTAGGCAGTGAATAAAAGGGGACCAAGAACCGACCCCTGCGGAACTCCAAAGCGTAGGGTTTTGGGAGACGATGTTGCTTTCTCAATGACTACATACTGTGACCTGTCAGTTAGATAAGAGCGTATCCATTTTAGACATAGTTCATCGACGCCAAAACGTGTTTGTAACCGGTTTAATAGAATATCATGATCAATAGTATCAAAGGCGGCACTTAAGTCTAGTAACACTAATACGACAGACTGTTTATTATCTATGTTAGTAACAATATCGTTATATACTCTCAGCAGTGCTGTGACCCTTCTCAATGACTACATACTGTGACCTGTCAGTTAGATAAGAGCGTATCCATTTTAGACATAGTTCATCGACGCCAAAACGTGTTTGTAACCGGTTTAATAGAATATCATGATCAATAGTATCAAAGGCGGCACTTAAGTCTAGTAACACTAATACGACAGACTGTTTATTATCTATGTTAGTAACAATATCGTTATATACTCTCAGCAGTGCTGTGACCCTTCTTATATGCTGATTGAAATTGTTCGTCAAGATTGTTAATAACAAAATGGTGTTTTAGTCTCATGGATATAACTTTCTCAATTAGTTTTGATATGTATGACAGATTAGACACAGGTCGAAAGTTCTTTAAGTTATTCGGGTCTAGATTTGGTTTCTTCAGTAGCGGTTTAACATGGGCGATTTTTGTGAACTGGCTTACATTACCATGCATAATTGATGTGTTAACAATATGTGTAATTATTGGTAAGAGTTCATTTATACACAGTTTAAGTAACCATGTTGGTATTGGATCAAGGTTGCATGAAGAAGACGAAGATTTACTTATCAAATCCTTGAGTTCTGTATTAGAAGCAGGAGAAAAATTTGTAAGGGGTGAACCAGCGAAGGGTTTTTCTTCACACAAGGCAGTAGATATATGATCAGGAAATTCGGAACGAATTTTATCTATTTTTTCATGAAAGAATGTTGAGAACTTTTCGGTTAACTTAGTACTTGTATTTTGAAATCTGTGGCCTTGGTTCTTTAAGAAACTGGAAGTGAGCTTATAGATTTGACGTGGGTTTTTCTTATTTTGGATAAAGCTATTGGAAATGTAACTGCGTTTTGACGAAGAGATAAGACTGTTAGTTTCATTTCTTGCTTGTTTATATAAGTCACGATCAATTTCAAGTTTAGATTGACGCCATCGCTTTTCAGCTTTACGTCGGTCAATCTTTGACTGTCGAATGTCATCTGAAAACCATTTTCTATTCGGTCGTAAAATAATGTTTCTTGTTACGACTGGAGCATGTTCATCAAGTATGTTTGTTAGTAATGCATTATAAAGTTTGATCTGATCATCAACATCGGGAACTTCCTGGACACGATCTAAAAGTTTACTACTTGTTATCGATGTTTTAAAATCTTCAACGCTCAAATTCTTTGTATTGCGATAGGAAATTAAAGTTCTTTTTGGTTTTGGTTTTGCGAAAATCAGTTCACTAATAACACAATAATGATCTGAGATGAGATTATCTTCAACCTTCAAAGATTTGATCAAGTCACTGTTGGCGCGGGTTATCACTAAATCTAGAATATGACCACCCTTGTGTGTTGGTTGAGAAACATGTTGATGTAAATGAAATGAGTTTAAAACCTCTTTAAATCTGTTAACTGTCGAGAAATTTGATTTGTCGACATGTATATTAAAATCTCCAAGTATTAAAATATCTTCAGGACCATCCAGAATACCGTGTAAGAAATCCGAAAATTCATCTAGAAAAGTGTCAATTGTACATTTATTAACTCGTGACTGGGGCGGTCTATATATAATAACTATTCGAAGAACACAGCTGTTTAACTGAATGTTATTTTGAAGAACTTCAAAGCTGGAGTATGTAGATGATGCAACACACATAACATTAATTGAGTCTTTGTGGATAAGGGCAACACCACCGCCATTTCTATTACAACGGTTAACAAGCGAATATTTATAGTTATCTGGAATAAGTTTGTTAATGACAAAACTGTCATTAGGTTTCAGCCAAGTTTCAGTCGATACAAATAGATCAAAATCATTTTCAATAATGAATTCATTAAGTTCATCTGCTTTATTACTCACTGATCTGGAGTTCACAAGACATAAATTCACGAACTGACATGCATTTTGTTTCGATTCCGGCTTGACCTTTATAGGACAAATTGAAATTAAGTTGTTGTGGTTAACATGGTTTGTACTTATCTTAGATTCTCTCACTGTGATAATAGATTTAATCCTTCTTTTACCCCCTCTCACACCTCTCTTAGTTGATTTAACATTAATCAACTGAGGCTGTTTAAAAGTAGAGTAATTTTCTTGTTTATGTTGATAACAGAGCTCACCAATCTTCAACAACTCAGCTTTGGTGTAGGTGATCATACTCACATAAACTCACAGTTGAAGTAAAATATAAATAAAAACTAAATTGCAATTTCTGCTAATATATCCAATAAAATAGATAAACAAGTTCCACTAAACTGATCTTCAAATCAAAACACAGGTACATGCCAAAATTAGCATGGTTTAAAGATTGTTATATCCTTTAAAATACACAAAATAGTAAGAGCTAAAAACACATGCAGCCACCTTGGGCGCCATTACATACCTACAATCAGATGATAAATGTAGTCTGTAGAGTGTTCACAAGAAATTGTGGACGATCGATGGACCGACGGATGGACGGACAGGGGGCGACTGCAATATACGACCACATTTCCATGTAAATTAATGGGCCAATATTACCAAAAGATAGGTTGCCAGGAGACGAAACATACGGCCAAAATAGCAGCTAAGTCATCCGGGCAGTCAAAAAGGGTTGCCACATATTTTTTTGGGTTGTCATTAATGAAAACATTTACAACACACTAAAACCTGATTAAGTAATTATCAGAAATCATTAGAATTTGTTTCGGTTGTTTGTCTTATGTTGGGGGGTTAGATGTCCACAAGATTTTTCAAATTGATCAAGGGCCATAACTCTGACAGTAATTATCGGAAATTGTTGAAAATCAACAGGCGTTTTCGCCTCATGATGTTAAACACTGTGGATATTAACTTTAGGCTCTAGAGCGATGGGGGCGACGGGAATATACGACCAGATTTTCAACGTAGGCTTATAAAAATGAGATAAAACTAGACCTGCAAGCAGCACTGAACCGGCTTTCATGAATCAGACAGGAAGTGTGTCATACAATAGCCCATTTATCTAGCTACCAAACGATACTTTAGATGTTTTGATATGGTCACACCCGACGATGAAATCCCAATTGTTGCAAGAGCACCGATATTTTTACTGTCTTTTTTTTTGAATTATCGAATATTTTTTGACTACTTCCTGTTTACGGATCATTATCGGGATAGATTTAATAAGTGGTATGGGAACTTAACTTCATGTAGCAGAAGTTTCAGAAAGATCCATTGGACAGTTTTACTTCCCTTATACCATTAGAAGCAGATTTACAGATATAACGATTTTTCGACTTTTTTCAAAGATTGTGGCCCTTTTGGACCATTTATACTATATTGAGGCTTTTAAATTTGGATTCACACCCTAGACGACCGTTAGGACTCTAAGTAACATAAGTTTAAGAAAGGAAATAAGAGAAGTTTTCGAAATAAAAGCGTCTGAATAGCCCCCAAAAATGAAAATACTAGATTTTCAGCGTCCCATTATATATTGCCTAACCAGCGAATTTTTACCATTTAGATGTCATACGATCGTCCATTGTTCGGGCTATCCAATGACACTTAAGTTGGTTCGAAATCTTACGTAGTAATCACTTTTTTCGCAAGATCACCATTTTTTTACTTTGGATATATGGTTCTTGTCAGATCTGATGGATATCGTGTATGCAATTAAAGGATTTGACAATAAACTTAAAGAAACATAAGTTATTTTAATTTAATATTGAAGTAACATTATTTTATAAATTTACTTTATAGGGTTAATGAATAGTTAATTCTTAAAAGAATTCTTCTGCTAGGAGCAAACCTGGTTGTCATGTTTTGGTGATTGGCAGATTAGTACTTATGGTAAGAATAACCCATTTATGTTAAGTATGACTATTACAATGTTTAGTACAGAATGTACACAGTATTATATTGGAGGCATTTGAAAAACCAATGAGTTTTAAAGATGTGAAACCCTCTCATGGCGCTAACATCATAATGTAAGCCAATTCGACCAGACTCCATCAATGTGAATTGAAAATTTAATAGGGAGACCACTCTAAAATAACCTTGTTATTAACCTATCGTCTTTATAACGGGAAGGCTTAAATACGGGAATTCCCGGTACTATTTAAGATGCCTTATGGTGAACATGATCTACACCATTATGTAAACTGAGTGTAATGTCATCCAAATATTCAGATCAAGACCCTGGTACTCCTACCCTCTTGAACTAAAGCAATGGCATCTTTTTGGAGAAATTTCATTTTTAGATTTTTACACTATTAAAGTATATTTGATTAAGAGAGTTGTTTATTACAGATCATGGAAAAATATATATTAGATTTATTCTTTGGCCTTAAACTTTCTTAAGATATAAAGTTTGATCATCAGATTAATACCCAAGGTAAGCAGTACTCTTATAATTTCAATTATATATGACTGTATAAATTATAATATAATGAAATATTAAACATATACTCCTTACCCTGGATATATGGGGTTAGACATTTCAATGCATTCAATATTAAAATGGTAAATATAATGTAAGAGTAAACGGAAGTCTTGAGTTTTACATGTAGAAATTGCGGCGCTATTGCACTTTCGTACCTCTACCAGTTCCTGTGGATGTTACGGGGGACTAGCAATGACCACACACCAAATAACTTTTTATTTTACCGACCTTTTAATTTCTAACGAGAGAGAACTTTATTTGTTTGACGCCATTTGCTTTGTTTACTATTTAGACTCGAATAACAAGACACTAAGACGGAAACCGACACACTGCACTAGCTGCCTATCTCTGCAGTTCATAAAAATTAATATAATTTTCGTATACTTTAATTTTTGCGCGAAGCCACCATGTTCTATAAAATACTATTTGGTGTTGATCAGTGGATTGGCCTTTAGGTGTGAATATTGCCGTGACCTTGAGTCTTAACTTCCCATCCATATCAGGGCCTTTGCGTTTATGATTGCCGTGGCCTTATTTCTTACTGTATTTTCAAAGTTAATGTTCGAGGTGAAAGCAGAGACGACGTCCTTCGGAAAAGATGATTGGGTCAAAGTCGTAGGTCAAGGTCATGTTACAGAAAACTAAACTCAAACTTTTCAAAGTCATTTTTTGGACATTTGACCTTGACTTACGACCTTGACCCCGTAACCATTTTCGAAGGCTATCACCATGGCTTGAATCATGGACGTTTACCTTGGTTCTGTCACACACTGCTCGGTCAGAAAAGGGTCAAACGGAGAGGGGCCCGTGTCCGAAAGGAAGTCAATGGGCGTGGTCAATGTGAAAGGTCGTAGTGACCTCCACTAGTCACCGTTAACCATCCGTGACCTTGACCCTGACCTAGAGTCCGAACTTCCCATCCATCTCGGACCCTTTGCGTTTATGCGTGCCGTGACCTTATTTCATTTTTGGGACAGGGCCAGGGTAAACGTCGATGGTTCAAGCCAAGATGATGGGCTTTGAAAATGGTTACGGGTCAAGCTCGTAAGTCAAGGTCAAATGTCCCAAAACTGACCTTGAAAAGTTTGAGTTCAGTTTTCTATAACATGACCTTGACCTACGAATTTGACCCAATTATCTTTTCTGAGGGACGTTGTCTTTGATTTCACCTCAAGCATTAACTTTGATAATACAGTAAGAAATAGGGTCACGGCAAGCATAAACGAAAAGGGCCCGAGATTGATGGGAAGTTTGGACTCAAGGTCGAAGTCAAGGTCACGGATGGTTAAAGGTGACTAGTGGAGGTCACCACGAACTTTCACATTGACCACGCCCTTTGACGTTCTTTCGGACACGGGCCCCTCTGCGTTTGACCGTTTTCTGACCGAGCAGTGTGCGACAGGGCCAGGGTAAACGTCGATGGTTCAAGCCAAGATTATGGGCTTTGAAAATGGTTATGGGATCAAGGTCGTAAGTCAAGGTCAAATGTCCCAAAACTGACTTTGAAAAGTTTGAGTTCAGTTTTCTGTAACATGACCTTGACCTACGACTTTGACCCATTTATCTTTTCTGAAGGACGTTGTCTCTGCTTTCACCTCAAGCATTAACTTTGATAATACAGTAAGAAATAGGGTCACCGCTAGCATAAACGAAAAGGGCCCGAGATGGATGGGAAGTTTGGACTCAAGGTCGAAGTCGAGGTCACGGATGGTTAAAGGTGACTAGTGGAGGTCACCACGAACTTTCACATTGACCACGCCCTTGACTTCCTTTCGGGCATGGGCCCCTCTGCGTTTGACCGTTTTCTGATCGAGCAGTGTGCGACAGGACCAAGGTAAACGCCCATGATTCAAGCCAAGTTGATAGGCTTCGAAAATGGTTACGGGTTTAAGGTCGTAAGTCAAGGTCAAATGTCCCAAAACTGACTTTGAAAAGTTTGAGTTCAGTTTTCTGTAACATGACCTTGACCTACGACTTTGACCTTTTAATTTTTCTGAAGGACGTTGTCTCTGCTTTCACCTCAAGCATTAACTTTGATAATACAGTAAGAAATAGGGTCACGGCAAGCATAAACGAAAAGGGCCCGAGATGGATAGGAAGTTTGGACTCAAGGTCAAAGTCAAGGTCACAGATGGTTAAAGGTGACTAGTGGAGGTCACCACGACCTTTCACATTGACCACGCCCATTGACTTCCTTTCGGACACGGGCCCTTTGCGTTTGACCCTTTTCTGACCGAACAGTGTGCGACAGGACCAAAGTAAACGTCGATGGTTCAAGTCAAGGTGATAGCCTTCGAAAATGGTTACAAGGTCAAGGTCGTAAGTCAAGGTCAAATGTCCCAAAACTGACTTTGAAAAGTCTGAGTTTAGTTTTCTGTAAGATGACCTTGACCTACGACTTTGACCCAATTATCTTTTCTGGAGGACGTCGTCTCTGCTTTCACCTCGAACATTAACTTTGATAATACAGTTAGAAATAAGGCCACGGCAAGCATAAACGCAAAGGGCCCTAGATGGATGGGACGTTTGGACTCAAGGTCAGAGTCAAGGTTACGGATGGTTAACGGTGACTAGTGGAGGTCACCACGACCTTTCACATTGACCACGCCCATTGACTTCCTTTCGGACACGGACCCTCTGCGTTTGACCGTTTTCTGACCGAGCAGTGTGCGATAGGACCAAGGTAAACGTTCATGATTCAAGCCAATGTGATAGCCTTCGAAAATGGTTACGGGGTCAAGGTCGTAAGTCAAGGTCAAATGTCCCAAAAATGACTTTGAAAAGTTTGAGTTTAGTTTTCTGTAACATGACCTTGACCTACGACTTTAACCCAATTATCTTTTCTGAAGGACGTCATCTCTGCTTTCACCTCGAACATTAACTTTGCTAATACAGTAGGAAATAAGGCCACGGCAAGCATAAACGCAAAGGCCCCGATATGGATGGGAAGTTTGGCCTCAAGGTCAAAATCAAGGTCACGGCAATATTTACACCTAAAGGCCAATCCACTGATCAACACCAAATAGTATTTTATAGAAAATGGTGGCTTCGCGCAAAAATTAAAGTATACGAAAATTATATTAATTTTTATGAACTGCAGTGTTAGGCAGCTAGTGCAGTGTGTCGGTTTCCGTCTAAGTGTCTTGTTATTCGAGTCGGTTTCCGTCTTAGTGTCTTGTTATTCAAGTCTAAATAGTAAACAAAGCAAATGGCGTCAAACAGATGAAGTTCTCTCTCGTTAGAAATTAAAAGGTCGGTAAAATAAAAAGTTATTGATCGATTCGGCTGAAATTTGGTGTGTGGTCATTGCTAGCCCCCCTTAACATCCTCTGAAAATTTCAAGTGCCTATGACCACGGGAACTGGTAGAGGTACGAAAGTGCAATAGCGCCGAAATTGTTCTACTACTGATGTTATCTGTTTTACTCCAGGCACAGTAGTGGCTTTTCCTACAGTTCCTTTGCGCAAGTTTTGTAGCAAATGACTACAAAAAGTTTACTGGCCGATAGCTACCTTAATTTACACATAAACTAACCCAAATCTGTACTTCACATAGCTTAACATATAATAAATCTAGTCCCATTGAAATAAAGATGAAGCCTTACCGCATAATTATGATTTGATGAAACCCAACTGCTACGCAAATTTTAACTGGCTAGTGTCATGGCGGCAAGTTGCGTAATACGTCATTAGGCCTACAACATAATTGTTTGGTAACTATTTTAATGGTCCAGTCCTCACCATTTGTGATAGAATTACTTATTCCAATGCAAACTGTAATGATATGTGTTGACAATTGTAGGTTTGAACCTATTTGAACTTGCGTAATGGTTCTTAGGCTGTCTCAATTGTAACCTTAACACAGTTTAAGGTTGCAAGTATAGTAACTAGGTAGCCATGGTGTCTGAGATACTTGCTCATGAGCCTCAAGGTAGCATATTTGCTCTCTGCTTTGGCCTCACAAGGACACCTGTCTAGTCATGCCTTTGGGACACAATGCCATGGAGCGTGGACCAATGTATTGTATACGTTGGCGTGCCCAGAAAAGATCCCATGGCAGTTAGTATTCAGTGTAAGAGTAGGCAATAGTGGCACTGCCAGCTAAGATTTCCTGCTCCCTGCTTTGGCCTCACAAGGACACCTGTCTAGTCGTGCCGATGGAACACAAGCCGTGGAGCGTGGACCCATGTATACGTTGGCGTGCCCAGAAAAGTTCCCTTGGCAGTTAGTATTCAATTTAAGAGTAGGCAATAGTGGCACTGCCAGCTAAGATTTCCCTCAATGCACACTGTATGGTGTATTGCCGTCTTCATTAGCCCAGTAGGTGTAGAAAACGTAAGCGTACAATTTCATTTCATTGGAAGCCACAATCGTTCAGCCAGAAAGAACAGAGCAGTGACTATTGCTTTGCATTGGAGTGAAAACCAAGGTCTCATGCACAAGTTGAGAGCATTAAAAAAAGAACAGTTAGAAAAATAAATAAGAGAACAGAAAATTTCCCTCATAGATTTATAGGAAAACCTTGAAAGTGAGAAAGCAAAATAGCAGTTGGCCATATTACATGCCAAAAACTACTGCATGGTGCATTGCTGTTTTTATAAGCAGCAGTAGGACATTAAAACCTCATTGATATTCCATTTCATATATCATTTGATTTACAAAATTATAATTTTGTATTTTTTAATTTTTTTTAGCATTTATTATTGAATGTTATTGGAGTGCCTGTACTTGTACCAAACTGGATTATTATTTTGCTTTTGGTGGTGATGGGCAGATCAACACTGTGGTAAGTCTCAATGATATGTAAACTAAGTGCAGTAGCGTCCAAACCCTATATAACTAAAGCAATAGCGCCTACTTGGTGTTGTCACTTATTCACTTACATCCTGTCCCTGTGCAATATTAATGGTTCAGCCAGAAAGAACAGAACAGTGACTATAGCTTTGCATTGGAGTGAAAACCAAGGTCTCATGCACAAGTTGAGAGCATTAAAAAAGAACAGTTAGAAAAACAAATAAGACTACAGAAAATTTACCTCATAGATTCATAGCAAAACCTTGAAAGTGAGAAAGCAAAATAGCAGTTGGCCATATTCCATGCCAAAAACTACTGCATGGTGCATTGCTGTTTTTATAAGCAGCAGTAGGACATTAAAACCTCATTGATATTCCATTTCATATATCATTTGATTTACAAAATTATAATTTTGTATTTTTTAATTTTTTTTAGCATTTATTATTGAATGTTATTGGAGCGCCTGTACTTGTACCAAACTGGATTATTATTTTGCTTTTGGTGGTGATGGGCAGATCAACACTGTGGTAAGTCTCAATGATATGTAAACTAAGTGCAGTAGCGTCCAAACCCTATATAACTAAAGCAATAGCGCCTACTTGGTGTTGTCACTTATTCACTTACATCCTGTCCCTGTGCAATATTAATGGTTCAGCCAGAAAGAACAGAACAGTGACTATAGCTTTGCATTGGAGTGAAAACCAAGGTCTCATGCACAAGTTGAGAGCATTAAAAAAGAACAGTTAGAAAAACAAATAAGACTACAGAAAATTTACCTCATAGATTCATAGCAAAACCTTGAAAGTGAGAAAGCAAAATAGCAGTTGGCCATATTCCATGCCAAAAACTACTGCATGGTGCATTGCTGTTTTTATAAGCAGCAGTAGGACATTAAAACCTCATTGATATTCCATTTCATATATCATTTGATTTACAAAATTATAATTTTGTATTTTTTAATTTTTTTTAGCATTTATTATTGAATGTTATTGGCGCGCCTGTACTTGTACCAAACTGGATTATTATTTTGCTTTTAGTGGTGATGGGCAGATCAACACTGTGGTAAGTCTCAATGATATGTAAACTAAGTGCAGTAGCGTCCAAACCCTATATAACTAAAGCAATAGTGCCTACTTGGTGTTGTCACTTATTCACTTACATCCTGTCCCTGTGCAATATTAATGGTTCAGCCAGAAAGAACAGAACAGTGACTATAGCTTTGCATTGGAGTGAAAACCAAGGTCTCATGCACAAGTTGAGAGCATTAAAAAAGAACAGTTAGAAAAACAAATAAGACTACAGAAAATTTACCTCATAGATTCATAGCAAAACCTTGAAAGTGAGAAAGCAAAATAGCAGTTGGCCATATTCCATGCCAAAAACTACTGCATGGTGCAGGGCTGTTTTTATAAGCAGCAGTAGGACATTAAAACCTCATTGATATTCCATTTCATATATCATTTGATTTACAAAATTATAATTTTGTATTTTTTAATTTTTTTTAGCATTTATTATTGAATTTCATTGGAGCGCCTGTACTTGTACCAAACTGGATTATTATTTTGCTTTTGGTGATGGGCAGATCAACACTGTGGTAAGTCTCAATGATATGTAAACTAAGTGCAGTAGCGTCCAAACCCTATAAAACTAAAGCAATAGCGCCTACTTGGTGTTGTCACTTATTCACTTACATCCTGTCCCTGTGCAATATTAATGGTTCAGCCAGAAAGAACAATACAGTGACTATAGTTTTGCATTGGAGTGAAAACCAAGGTCTCATGCACAAGTTGAGAGCATTAAAAAAGAACAGTTAGAAAACAAATAAGACTACAGAAAATTTACCTCATAGATTCATAGCAAAACCTTGAAAGTGAGAAAGCAAAATAGCAGTTGGCCATATTCCATGCCAAAAACTACTGCATGGTGCATGGCTGTTTTTATAAGCAGCAGTAGGACATTAAAACCTCATTGATATTCCATTTCATATATCATTTCAGGTTTTCAAGGAAAGATGTCTTATTTCCAATTTTAAAGAATCTTGCTGAAATCTTAATGTTTTTCCTTCAACTTTATTCTGGTTCCTTATTGTATCTAAAATAAATTAAGAATGCAAAATCTGACTTGTAATCTGTGTTTGGAAAAATTAAAGTTGGCTGTCCTTATGATTCCTCTTCTGGTAGCTATCTAACCTACAGGTCCAATGTTCAAGGCTGGTGTTGCCAAGAAAGCTATTTTGGATTTTCCATAATGGTTCCTCCCTTGTCAGTGGGGCAGAATGGAAAGCCTGACAAGGAACAACATATATGTGTTCACTGTTCAGACATGGATAAGCCACTAAGGTCCCTTGTAACTCAAACCAAATCCTCAATACTCAGTGGGTAAGACATTGCCTGTCTGAACTTGAGTTCCTGTGTTCAATTCTCTGTAAGCCGAGAAAGTTCATCAGAAATCACTGTAATCTGGGTATCATTTAATCCTGTGTATCTAGCACTAAATTCTTTAACAATCGTTTGATATCAAATGTTTGTTTAAAACATTCGTGAAGGTCATTTTAAATCTCACATATTCATCTAATTTGTACTTGTGTCCAGTTTAAAGCTGATCATTCAATTTTGTTAACGAGTGGCCAATTTTCAAGCTTTTAATTTTCGATCACCGTTCAAAAATTAATCGTTATTCATCAATAATCAATAGATGCTAAATTAGTGCGCCTTCTCAACCTTGTGTGTTTCCTCTGGGCACTCCGTTTTCCTCCCACTGCTAAAGACCCCTACGCACAAGCGAATTATTGAAATAAAGTTAAAAACATATGTTAGTCCCGAAATGACCTAGTTTGTGTCGAGTGGACGCTAAACCCCATTTCGTTCTCTCCCATAATTGCCATGCATGATAAGATCCCTGTGAAGTTGGAATTTAAAATAACAGTAGACTGTAGAACCACTATCTGGGCAAGAGAGAGAGAGAGAGAAATGAGTTTAACGTCCACTCGACACACACTAGGTCATTTTGGGACTAACACATGGTTCAATTTTATTTCAATTAATCGCTTGCGCATAGGGGTCTTTAGCAGTGGGAGGAAACCGGAGGACCCGGAGAAAACCCACGAGGTTGGACAGGCGACCCTACTCCTTGTCACGTACAACAGGGGATTCGAAACCAAGCCAGTTGACTCAATGACAGATCGTATGATACAGCGCGCGCATGCTAACCATTCGGCCATCCAACCCCCCACTATCTGGGCAAGGTTTCTCTCATAGTACGTTGTACTTTTGGTTTACAGGGTTGTTCCTTTTGATTGGGGCATCATATAATTACTTGATTTGTCATAGTAGGCAACTACAGACTCCTAACATTCAGAATTAGAATTAAATGTATGTCATAGTGAAGCCGTTGGACCAAATTCCCCCCATAAAATTGATCTATGCATACATCATTTGACCCTCGGTCATAATATATTCGGATGCACAGTCATACCATCCTGTGCACGGACAGATAACTCCACAACTGGAACAACAAGCCAACAGTGAGGCTGATGTCCCCCGCCGAAATAGGAAAATAATTAGAGGACACATATAAAAATCAAATTGCGTATCGCTCTGCTTACCCTGAGCAGAAAATGCTCATTATCAAACTTAGTCAAGGTATTACTGTAATGAAACTATACACCAAGTTTCATCAATCTCACTTAATTAGAACTAAAGTTATCGTGTCCCAAAGCATCAACCAATCAAATTGCTTATCTCTGCTTACCCTAAGCGGAAAATGCTCATCTTCGAACTCCATCAAGGCATTGACCTAATCAACACATACACCAAGTTTGAACATTCTAGCTCAATTAGGAAGAGAGTTATCGTGCCCCAAAGTATCAACCAATCAAATTGCTTATCTCTGCTTACCCTAAGCGGAAAATGCTCATCTTCGAACTCCATCAAGGCATTGACCTAATAAACACATACACCAAGTTTGAACATTCTAGCTCAATTAAAAGTTATCGTGTCCCAAAGCATCAACCAATCAAATTGCTTATCTCTGCTTACCCTAAGCGGAAAATGCTCATCTTCGAACTCCATCAAGGCATTGACCTAATCAACACATACACCAAGTTTGAACATTCTAGCCCAATTAGGAAGAGAGTTATCGTGTCCCAAAGCATCAACCAATCAAATTGCTTATCTCTGCTTACCCTAAGCGGAAAATGCTCATCTTCGAACTCCATCAAGGCATTGACCTAATAAACACATACACCAAGTTTGAACATTCTAGCTCAATTAGGAAGAGAGTTATTGTGTCCCAAAAAGTGTGACGGACAGACAGACGGACGGACAGACAGACGGACGAACCCATTTTAATAGTCCCCTGCTTTCTTCGAAAGGCGGGGGACAAAAAAATAGAATCCTTACAAATCGTTGTGGCTCGGTGAGTAAGGCGTTGACTGGCTGACCTAGCGGTCCTGTCATTGATCATGGTATTGGCTAAGAAAGTGCATTGTTATAATTAATAGGGTCTAGCACGGAACAGTCATTTACAGGCCCGACGACGGGGGGGGGGGGGGGGGGGGGGGGTCACCGCCCAACAATAATTTTGCAGCAAGCACTCTTTTTCTCCAGGTTATTGCGGCCCCTGGACCCTCGCCTATAAGGACCTAGGATGGAAGCCTCTCCCAAATCGAGAAGAACTTCTACCGGCCCTGATTTGAATGGGAAATAAAACCAAGGTCCCACGCATACATTGGAGTGGTCCTGTGTTCGATTGTTTTAGCAGATCACCCTCCACAGTGGTGTAGAATGGAGGACTTGACAACATACAGAGAACACCATGGTCCAGGCACAATCCCCTAATCCCACACAGCAATCACATTACATACAGATCTATATATCGTTTCGTATAACGTCGGACGTTTATTAACCAGATAGCGTTGTTGTTTCTAGTGGAATACTCACTCGTTGCAACGAATCATTTCATTGGCTTATCCATGGAGCTATCCAACGACACTTTGGTCCGCTAATATCTGACGGAGAAATCAAGTTTTCGCAAAAGCGCCATATGTTTAAACCTTTTTAAAAATTTTTTGAATACTTCCGGTGTGGAGATTACTGTCGTGGTAGTTTTAATAACCGGTTTGGGCACTTAAATAACCGTAGGGCCCTGTTATGGTTTATTACATTATCTGATCAGACAAAAATGCACCTGAGAAATACTATGTTCAAAGGTGCCAAAAATGTCAAAATATCGAAAATCAAATTTCAATAACTCAATACATATTATACATCGTTAAAATCGTAATTACATCAGCTATCTGAATATGTAACTTTTTTTTGATAATGTCTTAAAATAAAAAAATAGAGCATTTTCCAAAATTACACGATTTTGCGACTTTTTTCGGTTTTCAGGTCGTTATTTGACCTATTCCAGATATATCAAAGTCTTAAAGGAATGTTTCGTACACAAGACTACCAAAGGGTATCTCGATAGAGAAAGTTTCAGAAAAATTTCAATAACTCAATACATAATCGTTATCTCATAAAATAAGAAAATAATAGAGCATTTTCCAAAATTTCACGATTTTTCGACTTTTTTCGATATTCAGCCCGTTGTTTGACCTATTCAAGATATTTCAAAGTCTTTAAAATGGAATGTATCATACACGAGACTACCGAGAGGACTCTCGCAAGAGAATGTTTCAGAAAAATCGCTTGAGTAGTTTTCAAGATATGGGCGTCCAAAAACGCTCAAAATCAGACAATACTTGACTTTCAGCGTACCATATTTTGCTGCTTTTTCGTAGTATCCATATGAATTTGGTATCATAAGATAGTCCAATAGATACTTAACTTCCTGTAACAGAGGTGTTAGAGTTAATATTACGTCACTTCCGTTGCCGATAGAAATATTTCACCGTAACAAAAAAAATTACAATTGGGACCACGAAGCATATGAACTTTGCTTTATACAAATCGAACAATAAATAATTTTTCTGGGTACGAAAAACTAAATTAGCCGATGGCGACTAACGCAAATTACCGAGATATTTTTTTTTCTCATTTCTGCTCAAGTAGGATGATATTTTAACCCTGTGTAAAATACCATCAAAAAATATTCATAAATAAAAAAGGTTTTCGTAAAAAAAAATTAAAAAGGTTTTCGTAAAAAAAATTTTTTTTTCAAAATATCGGACATTTTTTCGACTACTTCCGGTTTTACAATCATTGTCGTTATAGCTTTATGAAGTTCTTTGGATACTTAACTTTCTGTACCAGAAGTGTCAGAAACATCCAATGAGTTATTTGGAAAAAAAGATAAATCAAAGAGCGTTTCCAAAAATTTAACGATTTTTCAATTTTTTTCAAAGTTTGAGGCCATTTTTGGACCACCTATATTATTTCAATGCTTTTCATTTTGGATTCACTATATAGACAACCGATAGGACTTTGAGTAAGAAAAGTTTAAGAAAAATCGTAGGCGTCGTTTTCAAGAAAATGGCGTCTCAGAATGTTAAAAAATCGGAAAATACTAGATTTTTCTTCATACAATAATTTATTTCCTTACCATCAAAATCGTATTATTTAGATACCATATGATGGTCCATTAATAGGGCTATCCAACGACACTTTAGTTCTTTTGGTCCGCTATTACCTAAGGGAGACATCAATTTTTTCGCAAGTGCGACAATGTTTTTAACCTTTTTTTTTCATTTTTTGAATACTTCCGGTATGATTATTATTGTCGGAATAGTTTTAATAGCTGGTTTGGGCACTAAAATAGCCACAGGGCTCTGTAATGATATATTACATTATCTGATCAGATAAAATGCCCCTGAGAAATCCTATGTTCAAAAGTGCCAACAATGCAAAAAAATTAAAATATCGAAAATTAAATTTCAATAACTACATACATATTATACATCGTTAGAATCGTAATTAGGTCAGCTATAAGAATATACAACCTTTTTTTGAAAATCTCTTAAAATAAAAAAATAGTAGAACATTTTCCAAAATTTCACGATTTTTCGACTTTTTTCGATTTTCAGTCCGTTATTTCACCTATTCCAGATATTTCAAAGTCGTAATGGAATGCTTCGTACACAAGGTCTCTCGATAGAGAAAGTTTCATAAAAATCGCTGGCGT